CTAGTTTTCTCTGATAAAAAATAAAACATCCCCTATTTTTGGATTTAAAAAGGTAACCCCAAATCCACATTTTTCCATGATTATATATAATCTAATATAATTATATTATATTACTAATATATAAATATACTAGCCAAAGTACCCCATTTCGCATGGGTTGCAGTAATCAAATTTTAATGTTTCATTTCAACCATGGAAAAATGCAGATTTGGGATAACTTTTTTGATGCAAAAATTGGGGATTTTTTTTTTTTAAATCAGCGAAAACTAGGATCCCTAGAAATTGAAACCTCAGTGCCTTAAGTCCTCAAATCATTCAAACTTCAGAGTGAGTTTGGCACATCATGGGAACAGAGGACTGTAGACATGAATGTCATTACGACAGACCTTCCCTTTTCTACCCAAACCTCCCATCCTAAGAAAGCAGAAGTTTCCCCTCCTATCCTGCCTCCCCACTGGAGCAGGACAGGAAGTTCCTCCCCTGAAAAATATTCCAAATTAGTTTAGGGCCACTGATGGTACAGTTATACAGACATTTTCTTCCTAGAAGTCTGGACACACCATTCACAAGGGGACCCAGCTGTACTGCTTGAGAAGCAAATCCACTGCAAGAACCAAGGCCCAGATCCTGAAATGGCATGATGTCTACAGGACTTAGGCACCAAATGACTTCAGAGAATCTAAGCCAAAGTGATTGGCATGAACAAACGGGAGGTCTGTCTATTAGTGGTGTCTCAGAGCAAAGGGCTGGAGAGCCAAGACTAGGGATGGTGCCTGAAACAGGCCTTTGTACACCTTTCCTTCTGTAATTACTATGGAGTCCCCATCAAGTTGGAGCCCAAGTTTGGCTTCACATCAGATAAAACCGAGCTGCACTGCTGCAACTGCAGTAAGAGGCAATTTGGAAGAAAGCTGGGGAAATAGGTAGAAGAGAAAGAACATCCCTACAGTTTATCCCCATTCTGCACACACCAGAGCCCCACCGCTCACGTCTCCTCCGTGCACTGGCAGGTTAGCGTCGATTGTCGAGGGACGGCAGCAGGGCTACAGAAGAAGGCAGGCTTTGTTGCTAAGACACTGGAACGAGACCCAAGAGACCTGCATTCAGCTCCCCGCTCTGTGGGACCTCGGGAAAGCGTCTTGGGGCCTGCCGTTCTCGAGCTGATGGTGTTGTGGTGCTCAGCACTGCTGGAAATCTAGCCTTTAATGTCAGCACCTCAATGCCTTGTAAAACTGGGATGACATTTCCTTGCTCCCACCCTCTGCAAAGTGGCGTGGCACAGGGATGATCCTTTCCTTTCTGTCGGTAGAGCACCTAGCATCGCTGAGCCCCCCCAGCAGCTGCCATAACGCAGATAAAAACATGGATGGAACAAATTCCTTCCCCGTGCGGGCTGCTTGGACTTCCAGGAGGTTACACATGTAGCCCGAGATCTTTATCGACGATCACATATTCTCTGTCGATAGCATTCGAGTCAAAGGAATCCAATTTTAGCCTGATGTTTCTGCGTAGCCAATATAAGTGGCGGCCTCTATGATATCCTGGTAGCCGCTCCGAACAGCAGGCATGACAATACCGCACCATACAAGAGCAATACATTTAACGATGATTGTTCAGAGCATTGAGCAAACCAGGCCGATGCCAGCCCTTCAGCTCCTTTCACAAAGGACAAGAGATGCTTATGTGATATCAAAATAAAATCATATTGGGGTCAAATGCTTGACAGTTTATTTTAAAACTCAGTACAGAAGTGTCCCTTAAAAGATCCCCAAACTCCTGCAAGATAGATCAGCGCATTACAGGAGCCTTCCAAAGTAGATGCATGTTTGCAGTTCCCCTGAAAGAGCCCAGAAACGTTATTTCTCTACAGAGCAGCATCAATCCTACTAACTAGGACGGCTGCTTCTTATAGTCTTCATCAGATTAGACAAAGATGTAAAAGCCTCTTTCCTAAACTCTGGAGGAATTTCTCTGGGTCCAAGTGTCCTTCCATAGGGGACCAAGGGATTGTTCCTGCACCCACTGAAATCCACAGCAGAGTATTAATGGACTGTAATGGTGCAGAATTGACTGCCAAAACCCCCCACAAAACATGCCCCATCTGCAGCTGGAAAGCTCTGTACTACATGGCCAGCACTTTGTAGATAATACTGGATGGGGTCCACTTTCCCATCACAAAGACATATCAATACCAACATTAGCAGAAGAATATATTCATGGTTCCCTTGCTATTGTTTTCATGGAGACCATGAAAAGTTGGATATTTTTTAGGAACAATAGACCCTATCAATCATCATCCTCACTCCTGCTGCACCTGGAGGCTGCCCCTAATCCCACTGAAATCAAAGGGCCTGATTTTTAGAGGTGTTCAGCATCCCAGCACAGGTCAAGGGTGCTTGGCCCTTTCTGGTCTGAACATAGAGAAACAGCCCTGCCAAATGGACGTGCTGCTTATTGCTCAGCTGTTTTTGATGCAACAGTAAAATAAGGTGAATTCCCACATTGGCCTGGTATCTAAGAGAGAGAGAGAGAGAGAGAGAGAGAGAGACATAGTTAGCCATGTTAGTCCGAAGTCAAGTAGAAGGCAGGGTAGATTTGCAGCTCATAGACTACCTGAAGTTCAGGAATGCCTGCACTAGCTATTCATCCCCCAAGGGGATGGATTATATTAAAACTTTCTGCATCGGTCTTCCAACTTATGGAGCAGGAAGATAGCAACTGTGCAATGCCTGAGTTTCCAGTCATACTTCCAGAAATCTCTTCTGGAGAAAATAAGGCCGAAGGGGGATTAGATAGCAGCCTTCAACTCCCTGCAGGGGGGCTCCAAAGAGGATGGAGCTGGGCTGTTCTCACCGGGGGCAGATGACAGAACAAGGAGCAATGGGCTCAGTTGTAGCAAGGGAAGTTGAGGTTGGATCTTAGGAAAAAACTTTCTCACAAGGAGGGTGGTGAAGCACTGGAACAGGTTACCCAGAGTGGTGGTGGACTCTCCATCCTTGGAGGTTTTTAAGACCCGGGTAGACAAAGCTTTGGCTGGGATGATGTAGCTGGGGGTGGTCCTGCTTGGAGCAGGGGGTTGGACTAGATGTGACCCCCTGAGGTCTTTGCCAACCTGAATTTTCTATGATTCACTGACTATAAATCATATGCAAAGGCTGCAAGGCAAGGATAGGTGACAATGAAGCAGCCCAAACCACATGCCACGGTATGACCTGGAACAAGCAACTACAGGTTCCTAATGCCAACAGGTCAGGAATGTAGCCTCTTTTCTCACGAAGCAAAGGCAAAAGCAGAACATTTGCTGTTTATTTTGGCTAGGAAGCATTTTTGAATGTGTGTGGGCTGTAGGTAAAATAACACTACCAAAGCCAGACCGTATGACGGTAGCCAAGGTCTTGCCACAGAACAGAGTGACTTGCCATTGCACCTAGAAGGCATTTTCTTTTACCAAAGTGCAGGCACGTCCCAGTGAGGTGAGTGTGTGCTTTCCTTTAGAGTCTACCAGCTGTGCGAGTGGTGTCATTTGGACTCGTGTAACCTTCCCCTGAGTGTCGACATCACCCTCCTCTCCCACCACTCTCAAGCCAATGAGCAAGATGTCGTCAGGTTGGGCCAACTTCCATAAATGGCTCCAGAGAGTAGACATGACTTCATGCTCCTCACTCGTCTGGGGGCCCTGCCAAAATGCCGAATTCCATTTCTACCAGCCCGGCGCAACGAGTCTTTCAGATCTCAATCCCAGAGCTTTGCACTTCAAGGCAAGCAAACCACAGAAATCTGCAGGGACGTTGTGGCCCAAACGGCATGGCCCTTCCACATTGCTGAATGGCACTGCCAGCACATTTGACACTGCACACATGTCAAATGCTATTTTCTGTCCCTGAGATCAAGCTAGAAAAGCCACGTTGGCATCATGAGTGCGTGTGGGATGGGGACCTTTAGGAACAAATCCGAATAAAAATCTTCCCTGCTGTTTTACCTCCTAAAATGTAGATGTATCTTAGAAGATAAGCCACGTGTTTGGGCTTTGTTTGGGTATAATGCCCAACTCTGATCCTCTGAGCTTTGGAGGCCAAAGGGTCATCTGAGCCCAGTGACCCCTTGGGCTAGCATAGCTGGGACGTGCCAGTTTCCACGAGCCAGAAGCACACTGAGATCGCATGTGGCTGATATCTTGTTCAGCAGCCTTTGACTTCCCAGCCTAAATGACCGGATGCCCAGGCAGACCGGTATAGACACCTGTATCACCTGCACATGGATGTTGGTGTGACTCTCAAATGCTGCCACCATGCCCTTGGGTCATCAATGAGTGTCTAAAATGCATAATTGCTCTTATTAACTTTTTTTTTTGGGCTATTTTTTTTTGGAACAACTGTGTAATTAGCCCCGATTTGACTAACTTTAAAATGCTTTCTGGGGCAAGGTCTGTCTGATCAATTATGCATCTTCCTCTTCCATTTTCATTCTAGATGTATCCGTCTCTTGGGACTTTTATGTGGATTGAGAGCTCGTTGGACATCTTTTTTGTTCAGTGTTTGAGCTGCACCTGCCACAATGAGGTCCTGACCTAGCATAATAATAGTAATAGTAATGGTAGTAGTAGAAGTAGGTGCTATCAGAAGCAAATAAAAACAATGATAACAGAAAGGATTTATTTAATAAGGGTGCAGTTCAGAAATGAAGCTTCCAGTTGGATCTCTTGTTATCTGTTCCTGAAATAAAGAATAATTATATTGTTTTTCTTAATATTCATTCGCCTCTCAGGAACTGGGGGAGAGCTTTGAACGCAGAAGTGGGAGTTTAGCAGAAAAAATACTTCCCAACACCCCAATTGGTTATTTGGCCCACAGTTTTAAAAGGGTTTGCACACACAGACATAACAATCCTCTTTTCCCCATTACTGCTTTTAAGCCTTAGCATTAGTTGAGGAATAATGTAGTGTAAGAGCGATGTGGTAGTTGTGATGTCCAGAAATTATGCGAAGGGCAAAGATTTCTGAGAGTGATATCCTTTATTGGACCAATTACATAGTTGGGATAAAGTTAGACAAGATTTCTAATGCAAGACTCATCAGAGCACCCCCAAGTACACAGGGTTGGGGTGATTAGTCAATAAGATTTCCATCCCAGGTGACATTTAATTTCCACTTGGCCTCTCTATAGCATAGGTGAAAGGCTGTGACCTGCATCTTGGCTGGGTTGGTGCAAAGCTGGTTCTTATTGTAATGATCTGAGAGGTTGCTCAGTGCACATGTCAGTCCATTCCTGACAGCAGCAAAGTCCTTCTCTTGCAACGTGATGCGTAGATCATCAGCATATAGGAAGCTCCTTATATTGCTCTGTATAGGTTGGTCATTGGTATACAGTGAAAAACAGCAGTGGGGAGGAGGTGAGAGCAACTCCCAAAGGTAGCAAACACAACTAGCAGAAGAAAAGAAGCTGATTCCTGGGAGATCAAGGCCTGTTTAAAAGGCCTTCCACACACCTTTCCTGTGTGGAAAGAATTCAGGAGTTAGGAATAAGCAAGTCACTTTCTTTTATCTAGTAGGTAGTAAATTTAAAACCAACACAAGGCAGCTCTTTTTCACACAGCTTGTAATTAAAGTGTGGAAGTCATTGCCACCAAATGTGGTGGAAGCTGACAGTTTAGCTAGATCCAAAAAGGGACTGGACAAATTCTTGGAGGAAAGGGGCATCATCAGCAAGTTAGGGAGTTAGAGGTTCACTTTTGATTCCAGAAATGCATCCAGTGCAGTGGCCCAGGCCAGAAGGTAGGGGGCGCTAGAGCACACCTCCGTGCTTGGCTAGAGCAGACAGCTTGAGCCAAGGCTAGCCTGCCCACCCTGTGAGGGGGGGGGGTTGTAGGGGAGGTGCAAAGCATCCTGGGATGCTAGGGGGACTTTGAGTTAACTTGAATCTGGAGGGGGTCTCGGACAGAAGTTCAAGAAATTGATTTAACCTAAATCAGTTCAGTCTGATAGTACATCCATCCACGTTTATCCTAAATTGGTTTCGGGCATTTTGAAAGTGGTCCATGTGCACTGAACTTCTGTTGTGTTACAGCTTTGAATGGGTTTCTGATCACTTACACCTGTTTTTGTGTCATTTTTGTCCCTAGCCCAGGTGGTCTTTGCCAGAAGGGTGCTACGGCTGTGCAACCTGTTGAAACACCCGGTCGTGTCGCGTGCTGGAGCTGGACCAACGAGGCCGTGCCTTCTGCTGTTTAATCCCCCTTTTAATAATCAGAGACCTGAAGAAGAATGCCTTGCATTCCAAAGCTGGTGTAACTCGATCCCAACCAACCACTTGATCCAAAACCTTGATCCCAAGTATACATTTGATCCGATAACTTGATCCCAACTATACACCTGATCTAATAACTTGACCCCAACTGTACATTTGATCTGATAACTTGATCCCAATGACACACCTGATCCAAAAACTTGATCTGAACTATACACCTGATCTAATAACTTGAGCCCAACACACTTGATTCAAAAAATTGATCCCAAGTGCACACTTGATCCGATAACTGGATCTCAGCTACACACGGCATAAAAAACTTGATCCCAAGTAGACAAGGTTCCTTGGGTGAATTTGATATCTTTTATTACTTGATCCCAAGTACACACTTGATCCCACAACTTGATCCCAGCTACGTGGCTCATAAAAAAAGTTGATCCCAATTACACGCTTGATCAAAAAAACTTGATCCCAGCTACACAGCGGATCCCAAATTTGATCTGAACTACACACCTAGTCTAATAACTTGATCCCAACATACTTGATTAAAAAACTTGATCCCAACTACACACTTGATCTGATAACTTGATCTCAGCTACATACCTCATAAAAAACTTGATCCTGAGTACAAACTTGATCCCAGCTACACAGCTGATCCCCAAACTTGTTCTGAACTACACACCTGATCTAATAATTTGATCCCAAGTACACACTCAAAAACTTGACCCATCTACACACCTGATCTGAAAACTTGATCCACAAACTTGCTTAAAACACTTGATCCCAACGGCTCTCCTGACCTAATAACTTGATCCCAAGTCCACACTCGATTCAAAAACACACTTGATCTGAAAACTTGATCCCAACGGCGCACCTGACCCCATAAACTGATCGCAGCGACAGACTCGATCCGGTAACTCGATCACCCAACCACACAGCGGCTCCGACGACTCGATCCCCACTGCAGAGCTGATGCAATCAAAGAGATCACCTTTTAAAAAAGGAAAGGAAAGGAAAGCAAAGGAAAGGAAAGACAGGACCCCCCCGAGCCGCGGGCATTCACACCTGGGGCGGGCGCGG